CGGGGCTTCAGCCCCTCTGCCCCCACCCTTCGAAACTCTATCCCACAGTCCCTTCACATCGCCCCCTCCTTTGCCTGTTGAAGGCACGTCTCAAGACCCCCCCCCCTCTTCGATGTTGCCTTCGGCCACCCTCCAACTCCTACCCTCCAGCCCTCCTAATCCCAACCCCAGCCTTGCGTCCAAATCCCTCTCTATTCAGCGCCTTTGGACGCGAAAGGCGCCGCGTAAATGTCATTTGTTGTAGTTGTTGTCTTGACGGCATGACAAGGCGCTGTATCAAACGCAAGGATTATTATGGTGAATGCTCCTGCCCCCTGCATTCTCTCTCAACCTCTGTCGTGATTCTCCGTCCTGGGATCGAGACACACGCTCACACCACCCGCACGTACTCTCGCAGGAGGAAGCTGGGCTGTGTATTCAGTGCCAGCTATTTGCCTGCACTCTTTCCTGTCTCTCTCTCTCTCTCTCTCTCTCTCGCACACACTCTCACTCAGGCACAGTAAGAAGCTGAAGCCGAGGAAACACCTCTCATTGTGGAGCAGCTGTAGGCTGATTCGACTGTTCTGTGACTCAAGTTCCCCACCCCCTCGTCTGCTGTAATGAGGAAGAGACGCAAAACCGGTCTGTCTGTCACTCTGACGCAAGCTCTCACGCACACACACACACACACACACACACGCATACGCTGACACGGTCTCTGTGTGCGGCTACACTGAGGATCCCGACCACATGGAGGTGAGTGACTGACGGTTTCCACTCGAGAGTGCGATATAAATGCAAGTTGTTGTTGTTGTTGCTCATTACTGCTCAGTAACCCTCAGGGTGAATCCTTACAAAGTCACTCCGTGTGACCCACTCACACAGTCTCACACCGTCAGCTTCTCTCTCACTCTCTGTGACACACACACACACGCGCGCGCGCACACGCACACACACAGTCTGACACTCTCACACACACACACACTGTCAGCTTCTCTTTCTCTTTGTGTGACACTCAGTCACGCAAGTCCTGTAGAGTCCTGTGGAGTCCTGTAGCTCAGTGGTTAGAGCACTCGCTTTGCAAGTGAGAGACCTGAGTTCAATTCCAGGCAGGGCGAAACCTTGGGCAAGTTTCCTTACTCCACACGCCTAATAATAATCCCTCCAAAAACCAAAAAACAATAATAAATTGGTCATTTTCAATCCACGACTGTTTGTGGGACATTGCTGTGCGCAATTGGCTGCCGCGTTCGCCCACAAATATACAGTCAATTCACTTTACAGTATATTCTGTGAAGCGCTTTGGGACGTCCTCCCGACGTGAAAAGCGCTATATCAAATGCAAGGATTATTATTATTATTATTATTATTATTATTATAAGAACATAAGAATTTGCTGGCGGATAAAGATCGCCGTTCATCTCATTCGCCTTCCACCGTCCCTGGCGGTCGCTTGACATGTCCGTGTCCCAAACTGTATACCGTATCCTCAGGTAATATTTTCTAGCAGAAATCGATCTAATTTCTTCTTGAAACAAACAACACTTTAAGCTTCTACGATCCGTCTCCCTCGGGAGCCCCGTTCCATAAGCGAAGTAGTATTTGTCGCGTATTTGTACGGAATTTACCCAATTTCAATTGGAGGCTGTGTGTCCTCTGGTTCTACCATTCAGTACAGGATATAACAGTTTATGGTTTATGTTGGTCTACAGTATCTCGTCCCTTTAGAATCTTAACGTCCATAATCCGACCAGCCTCTCTTTTCCTTTCTCACCCCCCCCCCCCCCCCACCCCCCCCCGCCCGACCGGCATCTCTTCCTGAGAGAATATATCTCCAAGTCAAGTTGTTGTCGCTGCTGCCGGGCTTCGTCCCGTTCCCTCTGTCTTTCCCTGAGATCTAGAAAGGGTTCTCTCGTCGTATCCTTTCCCAAAGTCTCTCCCCCCCGCATCACCCTGGTTATTCCCCTCTCCCTCCCCTACTATCCCCCTCCCCCTGCTAGTCCCATCCCCCTCCCACGCTATTCCCCTTGCCCTCGAATGCGAAGGCAACTTATAATAACCAGAATCAACGTTTAACAGAGCGCCTTTCACATCAGGAGCACCTCCCAAAGTTCTTCACAGGATTTACTGTAAAGTGGGGTAACTGTATTTTGGGGCAAAACACAGCAGCCAATTTGTGGACAGTCGTGTCCTACAAACTTTATCTGGGGGATCGTTGGCCAGGATAGTGGGAGAGAGAAAGATACTCCTCTTTCCCAATAGTACCACGGGATCTTTAACATCCATCTGAAGAGGCACAGCTCGAGCCTTGGTTTAACGTCTCATCCGAAGGACAGCGACTCTGACAATGCAGCGTTCCCCCCTCAACACTGAAGGGAACAGAGGAGACGCGGGAGAAGAAACAAGAGACTTGTATCACTGGCACGGACGAGTTGGGCTGAATTATTTCCATGTTTTTCTGCGTTTGATGTCATTCCAATACACTCGATGGACCTAATTGGTAAACGATCTGAGTTATGGAATAAAGTGTAACACAGCAAAACATTAACAAGAGGTTCATTGAGAGTCAAACTTGTCTTGTAAATTTGAGTTACTAACTGCGATAATGTCGGCCTAATTTTATCCACTGCAATGTGGTTCTTTAACCTGTGCTAATTCACAGGGAGCACACTTACTATTGGATAAGAAAAGGGAGTTTCTCTCTCCCGCTGCCCTGGCCTAGAATCCCTCAAATAGAATGAGTCATTTACTTCTCGGCTGTTTGAAGGACTTTTGCTGTGTACAAAAATACAGGTTTTGGGTTTGTGAAAGCCTGAGCGGTGCTCCGAGACGTTTCGATGACATGATAAGTCCCTGTATCAGATCAAAAAATATTATTATTAAATCGCAGTGTCTTCGACGTCAACGTCTCAAAAAGCATCTCACAGGATGGACTGCAAAGTGCAGTGACTGTGTGTTTGCGGAGTCCACTTGCTCAGTGGTTAGAGCGCTCGCTTCGCAGTATCCAGCGGTAAGTAGGAACCCGGTTGTTAGTCAATTGGCAGATTGCTTTTCCCGGGGGGTAATCATCCCTTCAGAACAATAAATACATTTTAAAAATTAATAATAATTTGGTCACTCAATCCGCGACTGTTTGTGGGACGCGGCTGTCGCGTTTGGCCCACACACGCACAGTCAATTCACTTTGCAGCATATCCTGTGAAGCGCTTTGAGACGTCTCGAAGGCGATACGTCAAATGCAAGGATTATTATCGTTATATTTTGTGGGTGAAACGCTGCGGCCAATTTGTGCACAGCTTCGTCCCGCAGGCAGCTATGGATAAGAAATTGGATTGACCGATTCTATCTGGGGGAATTGTCGGGCAGGACACCGGGAGAGAGAGAGAGAGATAAACTCCCTTCTCTTCTCGAATAATAAATAATAATAATAATAATCCTTGCATTTGATATAGCGCTTTTCACGTCGGGAGGACGTCCCAAAGCTCTTCACAGAACACACTGTAAAGTGAATTGACTGTATATTTGTGGGCCAACGCGGCAGCCAATTGCGCACAGCAATGTCCCACAAACAGTCGTAGATTGAAAATGACCAATTTAATTGTTTTGGTTTTTTGGAGGGATTATTATTAGGCTCTGTGTGGAGTAAGGAAACTTGCCCAAGGTTTCGCCCTCTGCCTGGAATTGAACTCAGGTCTCTCACTTGCAAAGCGAGTGCTCTAACCACTGAGCTACAGGACTCCACCGCGGGATCTTTAACCTCCACTTGAGCACGATCTGGGTTTAACTTCTGTGAAGGACGGCACCTCTGACAAGCTCAACGCAGAACAGGGAGTGAGATTTAACACCCTTCCATATTTTACCCAGTGAATTAATATGCTAATCATTTGATATGTTGTCGTCGTCCTTTCACCGCATCCCAAAGTGATTCACGGGGTTTTACTATAAAGTGACTGTGTATTTTGTATTTTGTCTCGCAAACAGCCATAAAGTGAGTGACCAATTCTATCCGGGGGATTGTCAGCCAGGACTCACTCCAGCAGAGAGAGTGAAAATCCCTTGTATTTCTGATCGCGGGATATTTAACGTCCACCTGAACAGACACAGACAGGACCTCAGTTTAATGTCTCAGCCGAAGGACGGCACCTCTGACAAGGCGCCCACCCCCAGCGTTACATTGCAGCGTCAGCCTAGACTGTGAGTCTCAACGTTGGAGCCCGAACCCACAACCTCCTGAGGTGAGAGCGCTACAGACTGAGAAAGTGGGTGTGTGCTTGCGTGTGTGGGCATGTGGGCATGTGGGTGTGTGGGCATGTGGGTGTGGGTCAGTGTGCGTGTGTGGGCGCGTGAATATGTGTGTATGGGTGTGTGTGTATGTGTGTGAGCGTGTGAATGTGTGTGTGGGAGTGCGCATGTGTGTGGGTGTAGGCGCGTGTGGTGTGTGTGGGGGGGTGCATGAGTGCGTAGGGGTGCGCGTGTGTGTAAGGGTGCGCGTTGGTAGGTAGGTTGATGGAGTTACATGTCGGCATCGTGCTCCGCCACTGTCGAGCGCCCTGCATGACGGACGCTATATAAATGCAAGTTGTTGTTGGTGTTGTTGTAGAGCTGTTTAAAAAAAACATATGGGATCCTTGGCTTTATAAACAAAGGCTTAGAGTACAAAAGCAAGGAACCTCTGCTAAACCTTTTTAAGTCACGGGTTAGGCCTTAGTTGGAGTATTGTGGAAGAGGAATAGAGGGAGAGTGTTCCACAGTTTGGGGGAGTAATGGCTGAAAGCCCAGTCACCGATAGTGGAGCAGAGGGCACGAGGGACATGTAGGAGGCCAGAGCCAGTCGAATGGAGGCAGCGGGTGGTGGCGGGCGGGGTTGGGCTGTGTGGGTAAGCAGGTCAGAGAGGTTGGGAGGTGCCAGGGCACCTGAGGATTGCTGACAGACAGGAGCTTTGCGGACAGAGGAAGTGAACGGTGTCTTCGTCGCCTCTCCGCAGAGCGAGAACCAGCTGGCGACCGGTGGCGGAGGCTGAGTGTGGAGTGTCCGTGCCCCTACGGGGCGAGCCAGTCAGCCAGCCATGGCGCTGCTGCTCCACGTGCTGTCCGCCCTCTTCGGCCTGGGGTCCTGGGTGGCCATTAACGGACTGTGGGTGGAGCTGCCGTTGCTGGTGCCCGAGACCCCCGAAGGCTGGTACCTGCCCTCCTACCTCACCATCCTCATCCAGCTGGCCAACGTGGGCCCCCTGCTGGTCACCCTCCTGCACCGCTTCCGGCCGGGCTGGCTGCCCGAGACGCGGGTGGTGTACGCCATTGTGTGCCTCGGCGTGGTCTCCTGCCTGCTGGTCGCCCTGTTCTGGAAGGAGACGGGCATGGTGGGCGGGGAGCGGCACAGCACGGCGCTGCTGGCGCTCGCCTTCTTCCTGTCGCTGGTGGACTGCACCTCCTCCGTCACTTTCCTGCCCTTCATGAGCCGCCTGCAAGCCCGCTACCTGACCAGTTACTACACCGGGGAGGGCCTGAGCGGGTTAGTGCCCGCCCTGGTGGCCCTGGCACAGGGCGTGGGCGTGGTCACGTGCCACCAGGACAATGTCACCGTCATCGGCAACACCAATGCCATTAACACCGACGTCCACAACATCACCACCATCAACAGCGTCATCATCAACACCAACACCACCGCCACCATGGCCAACCTCACCGATGCCAACCTGACCTTGACAAAGCTGGTCGCCCATTACCAACCAGCCAATTTCTCACCCCGGGTCTTCTTCTTCCTGCTGGCGGGGATGATGCTGATGTGTCTGATGGCCTTCGGGCTCCTCAACCACCTGCCGCTCGCCCGCCGTCATCACCAACAACACCACCGCACGCCGGGCAAGTACGGCAAACATTCGCCCGCCTGCCCCGGTGGGGAAGCCGACAGGAGCACCAAGCCAGAGCCAGTGGAGGAGCGAGACCCAGAGAGGGAGAGGGAGCGGGTGCGGCAGCTGGAGAACGAGCGAGACACAGAGACTGAGCAGGAGCCAGAAAGGGAGAGAGACACCGAGAGGGAGCCAGAACCAGAGCCGGAACAGAGACCGATGATCAGCCGCAGGCCTTCCTGCTGGTACAAGGCGAGGCCCAGCACCTTCCAAGCCGGACACTACACCTGGCCACAAGCCACCTTTATCTTCCTGGTCCTGGCCTGGGTGAACGGGCTGACCAACGCAGTGCTGCCCTCGGTCCAGTCCTACTCCTGCCTGCCCTATGGCAGCCTGGCCTACCACCTGTCAGCCACGCTGGGCGCCATGGCCAACCCTTTGGCCTGCTTCCTCGCCATGTTCCTGCCCAGCAGGTAGGTGAGAGCGTGCCCTGCACGCCGCATACACCACACACACACCACACCGTAATCACCACGTACGCAACACACACCACACACAGGCACGCACATACCATACTCACCACACACACAGGAAGGGGGGCAGGAAGCTGGGTGAGAGCAGTGATTGGGATGGTGTCACTGGGAGGTGAGGTGTGGTTAATGTCGCAATGGAGAAGTCAGCTGGCCCCGGGTGTCTCTGGGGTGTAAGAGTCGGTGTGAGGAGTGTTAGTGACTGAATGAGAGGGAGTGGGGAGTGTCATAGGCATATTTTTTTCGGGGTTCGCCTCTCATGACCCAAATAAGCTAATCAATAAAATATGCCCATGACACTCCCCACGCAAGACCTTTCCGATGAGGTATAAATCATGTCGGTCGGACAGACACACGGACAGACATTTTGTCTTTATCGCTGTAGGTAGATGACGGTTCAGCGGCCAGGTTTGTACAGCTCCCGCTGCCTCCCGACGGTGATCCCTGCGACCGCGGCTCCCTCTCGTGCGGTCACTAACACTCCTCGCACCAACTCTTACACCTCAGAGACACCCGTCTCTGCTGCAACATTCAACACACGGAAACGAGGGACGTAAACGCCCACCGAGCAACAAACAGTGGCCCCATCCCAGAAATCTAGCTCCGGGATTTCCACGTTTAGGTGGGAAGTATTGAATTCTCAGGGTGGCTCGGATACCCTTTAAGCAACAACGACGGGTTTCTGCAGGTGTTAGACCCTCCCCTCAGTAACCCAAACTGATGCTGCGCTGGTTGTATTGCAGGTCTCTGCGGTTGATGTTGTTGCTGACGGTGACCGGCACCACAATTGGTGCCTATATCATGGGTATGGCCGTGCTGAGCCCCTGCCCCTGGCTGGTTCACACCCACACGGGCACTGCCCTCATGGTAAGCTCTGCACCCCCCCCCACCCCACCCCACCCCACCCCACACCGCCCGCTGTTCAGGATAAGAGGCTTTGAGCGGTGCGAGAGGACACTGGGTTCGATTCCCGGCAGGGCAAAACATTGGGCAGGTTTCCTTACTCCACACGCCTCTGTTTACCTCGGGGTAAGTAGGAACCTGGATCTTAGTTGATTGGCGGATCGCTTTTCCGGGGGTAATGATCCCCTTCAAAAAATAAATAGAAATATAACCAAAATGATAATCTGGTCATTTTCAATCCACGACTGTTCGTGGGACACTGCTGCGGGCAATGGGCTGCCGCATTTCGCCCACAAAATATACAGCCACTACACTTTACGGTGTATTGCATCCTGTGAAGCGCTTTGAGACGTCTCGAAGACGCGATAAGGCGCTATATCAAATGCAAGGATTACTATTATGGTTATTATTATTATTATAATTTCCACCGCTCCATGCCGTGTTAAGCCGGTTTCTCTGTTTGCGCTCTTGTGAGCAGGACGTGTAACGTGTGCTCCCTTTGTGTCTCCCAGGTGCTGTCGTGGACCCTGTTCACAGGGAGTCTGTCCTACGTGAAGGTCATGATTGGGGTGATTCTACGAGAAGAAGGCCATAGTGCCCTTCTACTGTGCGGAGCGGTGGTGCAGCTGGGCTCTATGCTGGGGGCTCTCACCATGTTCCCCCTGGTCAGTGTGTATAGCCTGTTCCGTTCCGGGGACCCCTGTAATTCCCTGTGCCTTCCATGAACGTCACACCATTCCCAGCAACTCCCCCCCACCCCCCCCCCACCCCGAAAACCTAGCCCTGCACCAGCCCCTGACCATACAGGGTCTCGGTGAACTTGAGACCTGAGCTTAGTCATTCCTCCCCTCCGCCGCCCCCTCCTAACCACGCACCCACTGAGATGTTAACCTTAGGTCCTGTCTGGGCCTGTCCCCATCACACCAGTCCTGGCCGGGCTGCACTGGCTCCCAATTTCCGAACGGATCGACTTCAAGATAGTTATAATAATAATAACCTCTCTCCCATTTTCAAATCCCTTCATGCCCTGGCACCTCCCTACCTTTCCGACTCTCTCACCCCCACCTTCTCTTCACCCAGCCCCCCGCCCCCCCGACCGCTGTCTCCGCTCGGCTGGCTCCAGCCTTCTGTTCATCCCTTGTTCCCTCCGCTCCACCATCGGCGGCCGCACTTTCAGTCACTATGCCCCGAAACTCTGGCACTCTCTGCCTCAATCCCTCCGCCTTGCCCCCCTCCCACCCCACTTTCAAATTCCGCCTCAAGGCCTTCCTTTTTGATGGTGCTTATGGTCACCTCCCCCACCTTCCCTCTCCCCCGGCTCGGGGTCAGACTCCGCCACTGTTAAGTGCTGTGGGACGCTACCCAGAGCGAAGGGCGTTATATAAATGTAAGTTGTTGTTGTTCAGGTGGACGTTAAATATCCATCGAGAAAGAGAAGGGAGTTTCTGTCTCCCTGTGTCCTGTCCCCCATTCCCCCACCTCTCCCCCACCACCACCATCTCTTCATTCTGTGAAGCACTTTGAGATGTCTCAACGACATGATAAAGCCTTATATCAAATGCAAGGATTATTAGTATTAATATTATTATTATTATAGTTAACCAGAGAGAGGTCATTGTCTCCCTCCCGCAGGGGGATTCTCTGGCCCACTTCCCTACACAGTGGTCACTACAGGTCAAAGAAACTCACAGTATTTACAGAAGTGCCTGGAGAGTGTCCCAGATACTGTGTTTCCTCAGCGGGGCACTGGGGCCGTGACTGGGGGCCAATTTGCACACTCCACAGCCATAGCTGTTTTGTTAATCCCAGTTGCACTGTTACACAACTCTATGAGGTCCCCTGTGAGTCGGCTTCTCCCGAGACTGAAGAGCTCGAACTCGTCTAATCGTAGATCACAGCTCATTCCTTTCAACACTGAGGATCATCCCCGTTGCTCTCCTCGGCACTGGCTCTAGGGCCTTATGTCAAGGGGACCAGAACTGTATGTGTTTGTGCCTGTGAGTCTGTGTCTGTGCGTATGGGTGTCTGTGAGTCTGTGTTTGGGTGTGTATCCAGCTGTGTCTGTCTTTGTGTATGTGTATGTGTGTGTGTGTGTGTGTGTGTGTGCGGGCGAGGGGGGGATGTCTGTGATTCTATGTCTATGGGGGTGTCTAGGAGTGTGTATCTCTGTGTGTGGGGGGGCGAGGGGATGTCTGTGCCCGACTGTATGTGTGTGTTTCTCTGTGTGTCAGTATGTGTGTATGGTGTTTGTCTGTGTGTGTCTGTGAGTGTGTGTCTGGAGGTCGGTGTCTATCTAGGTGTGTCTGGGTGTATCTGGGAGACTGTACCTATGTCTTGTCAATCTGTGCTTGTCTGTATGTATGTGTATTTTTCTGGGTGTGTGGGTGTGTGTCTAAAGGTCTGTGTCTGTCTAGGTGTGTTTGTGTATGTGTGTCTGCTTGTGCCTATCTGTATGTATGTATATATGTGTTTCTGTGTGTGTGTGTGTGTATATGTATGTGTGAGCATGTGTGTGTGTGGAGTGTGGGCGGGATCTGTATGTGTTTGAGTGTGTGTATGTGAATGTCTGTATGTGAGTGTATGTGTGCGTGTGAGTGTATTTCAGTGCCTTGGGACGTCCTCCCGATATGAAAGGCACTATACAAATGTAATCTTGTTGTTGTTGTATTTATGTGTGTGAGTGTGTGTACGTGAGTGTATGTGTGTGAGTTGATGGGGATGTGTCTGTCCCCTCCCGCAGTCAGCCACTCTTACTGTGGGTGGGGAGTTGGGGGAGAGAAGGCTTTGTTTTATCAGATTTGTGTATATGAGAGCAAGGTGTGGTCCGACTCACAATAAAGTAACTGACAGACAGACCAGTCCTTGTCACTGGGTTCACATCAATTCCAACACCATCCATAGCACCTGTTAACCGTGCAAGCCAAAGCCCTTAACAAGTAAGGTGGTCCTAGTTGGACAAGCAGCGGAAAAGCTTGCCAGACAACGATATCAGTGGCAAGCTATGTTATTTTTTGTGTGGTTTTGTGTGGTTTTAGCCACTGTCCTCGCAGGGCAGGGGAGGGGAGGTTAGCAGGTGAACTGGCTCCAAGGTGAAATGTTTGGTAACGGAATATCAGAATCAAGTCCACCCTCTATGATGATCCCGGTTCCTGAGCCTGTGTCTATCTGTAGGTCCGCAGTATTCCAGGGCACTGCTGATGACAGCAATGCCAACCTGACTCATTGGCAGGACTTGGAAGGTCAGAACAGTCACTAGGGGTAGTGAATCATCTCACTCAACTCCTGTTAACCATGTAAGCCGAAGCCATAACGGGTACAGTGGGCCTAGCTGGACAAGCAGCAGGAAAGCTTGTGCTCTCAATGGCAAACCATGTGGTTTTAGCTGGTTAGACTCCAGCAGAAATTCCACAAAGCAGTGTCACACAAACAGCCATGGATTGACTGCCCACATTTTTTGTTGGAGGAATTATTATCCCTAGAAAGCAACCCACCAATCGACTAACAACCGAGTTCCTACCTACTGCTAGCTAAACAGAGGCGCGTGGACTAAGGAAGCATGCCTATGGTTGCGCCCTGCCCGGAAATCGAGCCCAGGTCCTTGCGAGGCGAGGGTGATTTGAGTGTGATTTGAGTGAATCGCCCCCTCACTCCTGCTGTCCTGGTATCTGAAAGTCAGGCTGTCCAGTCTGAAATCAGAGATCAGTTTTCCTCAATCTATAATCCCAATTAAAATCAAAGAGTAGATTTGAGAATTCTCCGAACCATTTTAGGGCAAAAAGGTCTGGCAGGCTGAGGCTGGCTGGAATTTCAGGGTCTGTGGAGTCAGGTTACATTGCCTGGGCCTCAGGCCTGGGACTGAGGTACCAACGCCCTTCTCAGCCTTCCTGAACAAAGGCAGCATTAACCCGAGCCAGATGGTCATTCTACACCGCATTGCAGATGGGAGGGAACGGCACACAGTGACACTGTGACAGAGAGGGGATAAAACAGCTCCATTCACCTTGGCCCCTCGCTCTTAATCCAGGCACATCCCAGGAATCTTTCCATGTGCCCTGTCCCTGGTGTCAACACTTTCAAACACCCTCTCCTCTTTTCCCCTCTTCACTTCACTCCTTCATTTCTGCTCCCTTCTCTCATTTCCTCTCTCCGCTTGTCACCTCTTCCCTCTCCGTATCTCTCCTTACCTCTCTTCCTTCTATCCCCTCTCCTCTCATTTCTTCCCTTCTCTTCTCTTCTCCGCTCTACACTTCCCTCCTTCACTCCTTCCTGCTGTCATCTCCAAGGCTTTGTGCCATATCTTTCTATGCGCAGAACAATTGCGCGCAGAAGTGCCAACTAACGTACTGTGTCAACTCACGGCAATTGAGGATACCTCACGGAGACTGCCATTGTAGAGGGAGCTTTACTCCCTCCCTAACCTGTGCTGTGGTTGACCTGGGCGTGTGGACGGACAGTGGTCCAGCGATCAAATCAAACAAGACTGGTTCGGATGAGGAAGAGGCTGATTTGACCTCATCCTTCCAGAACCCACAGCCGACCCGCTCCCGTCACAGCATCCAGCTGCTTTACAAATGTGTCCAGTGTCCCGCCTCAACCAACCCTCTTCGTGACCTGTTCCAGTGGTTAATTACCCTTCGGGTGAAGGAAAACATCCGCCATGGCAGATCCATTGTGAGACAGTTAAATAGTATTTGGAGTAAGTTGGAGGAAACTATGGAATCAGAAGAGGCAGCAAAGGTCATACAAATAAAAATTATGATAATTTGATCACGTTCAGGGAATGATTAGACAAGCTCAGGCTCTTCAGTCTTGAGAGAAGACGATTCAGAAGGGACCTCCTAGAGGTCCCTTTTTTAAATGGGATTTGACTAAGTAAAGACAGGGTAATTACAGAGAAACTATTTCCTCTGGTGGGGGAATTCAGAACAAAAGGGGGCATCATCTTGAAATTAAAGTGCTTTTTACTCAAAGGGTAGTGGAAATCTCTTCCTCAAAAGGCTGTGGATGCTGGATCCATTCACATTTTCAAGACTGAGGTGGATCTATTATATTATGATTGTTATTATTTTACATTATACTGTATCTATTATATTAATATATATTTGTTAGGTCGAGGTATCAAGGGAAATGGAGCAAAGGCAAGTAATTGTAGTTGAGGAACAGATCAGCCATGATCTTATAGATTGGTGGAACAGTCTCAAATGGTTGAATAGCCTACTCCTGTTCCTATGTTTCTATATAACCCAGACCATTATTTTAGGATGTATCCAGAGGAGAGGACACAGGTTAGAGGTATAAAGGGCTGAGGACACTAGGAAGATTTTCTTTAGCCTGAGGGCAACTAACGACTGGAACTGGGTGACCAGGAAGGGTGTTGAGGCCAAAACACTGGGACTCGCTGGGTGGGGGTGGAGTGGTGGGGGGTAAATGTAAAATCATGGCTCTGAATGGTTCAAGGGGGAACCTGTGGGATATTGATTGGAAATTCAAGGGGCAGTTGTTGATTCTTATCATCCTGGCAGGTGTGGTGGACACCAATGTTTGCCTGGACCAACAACAACTAAGGCAATTTGCATTTATACAACGCCTTTCACGTGGGGTAGCGGCCCGGAGCACTTGACAGTGGCGGAGTCTGACACCGAGTCAGGGGGGAGAGGGAGAGAGGAGGTGACTGTAAGCACGATTAAAAAGGAAGGTCTTTAGGCGGGATTTGAACGTGGGGGAGGGAGGGAGGGGGCAAGGCAGAGGGATTCAGGGAGAGAG